GGAAGGGGTGAGCGAGCGGCGCGTGGCACTTAGCTACCGGCTGGGGCTGAACCACGTCATGAGGGCACAAAATTTGGCTTGCTAGGCTGGCAACAAAAGCATTCATTTAAAAACTTGTCAAAATGCAAACTATCTGTTTGGCATTTTTATCTTGCACGTGAGCAGGCTGACATGCTGCAATTTTGTATGTCAAAACCACATCCATTTTGGGCACTCATTTACTGTGGATGTAAAAATTTCTAACTATGACTGAGACTGTTTACTGTTACCCAGACTTGCATTTTTCCAAAAGGTTCCAAGCTTATTTTTGTGTTTATTATGTAAAATCCCAGACAATTAGATTTCCACTTGGCTAAGTAAAACGAATGCAGTAGCTGCCAAGGACTATGACCAATGGCAATGTGTGCTATGCCAGTCATCTGCAACTTTGCAGTAACAGCAAGTGTACCACTCTGCCCTGGCAGCTAACTCTTACTGATATCAAGCCTGACACGTACAGATGAATAGCCCTTTCTGTCCCAAACTAAACAGTAAACTCAAAGCCTGTTTGTTGCAGAAAACTGTATTTTAGTCAACTTGGTTTTTACAGGGTAAAAAAAACCCAAAGCAAACAAACCAACCCCCTGATTCTTTTCTAGCTTCTGAAATCTGACGATTCAGGCTATAAAATTCAAAGGGTAATACCTTTTCCGTGTATTTCCTCTGTTGAAGCTTCTTCTGAAAACATGGCAAGTTACCCTTACCACAGTCCTCTGGGGAAAAAAGGTGTCTTTGACAGTGCAGTAAGGCTGGTGGAGCACTGCTCTGTCACCCATTTGATTTTTCTTGTGGTTATGTAGAAACATAGCAGTTAAGTAGTCTTAAGTTGAGAGTAAATGGCAATGTTTTGTTCTTCCTTAGCACTTCTGGCTAAACTGTCTCTCTTAAATGAAACTATGTAATATTAGTACTGCAAGATTCGGTTAATACATCAGGCTTCTTTTTACTGGACATCCTAAAACATGCATATCAGTTGCAACATAGTCCTGCTCACATTTAGGTTGTTTACACTTGTGCCATTACATTGGGTGTTTGTGGTTAGCTGTAGTTAATAAAACTACAGGTAAGTTGTGCCTGAACAGTTTGGCTTTATGTAAAAGAGACTTGATTTTCCTGGTGTAAATTCTGCTGTCAAGTGTCACATCTGCCGATAGTCTCTGTGCAGACTCCCTTTTGCTTCCAATTTTTGCCTTTCAGTCCTAAAATGCCTTGCAAAGGTCCCATTAAGACACAAGTTTGGAGGAAGCACTGTTGTTATTAGTGTTATTATGAATAGGTGACTTCAAGACTCCAATGTGGCACCCTTCAACAACACTAAATTTACTTAAACTCTCCCAAAGAAATCACAAACCCATCTATGTCTCTCATAAATTAATTTGCTGTTGCAGGAAGGACTCAGGGCAATGTGCGTGCTTTTAATATTACCAAGTTAAATTGTCTTGGCTGTAGCTTTTTATTCACTGTAGAAAGCATTATGTTAATATTCTGATTAGGTACAGATTAGTTTTTTGACGGAATAATTTTGAGTAAGTAGAATACGTCAAGCACTGCAGCAAGATTACTGAGGTTCAAAGCACAGCACTTTGCATTTTGTTAATGTCCTGTAATTCTTACTGGCATCTATGAAGTTGAAACAGCATAATGCATTTATGTCAGCATTTGTGCTAGGAAATTTAAAAGAGGCATTTCAGCAAGAAAACATTGGGTTTTTTCTAAAATGAAACTATGCTTTTTGAGCTATGCAGTGTTTCTGGCCTGGCATAGTAAACCATTTTTCTGATTAATGTGTTGATACTATGAACATAAAAATCCTGGGAAAATGGTTTCATTGTGTGTATTTTAGAATGCGATTGAAGTATCACATTTATCTTAACATTAAATTTCATGAGCTATAACTTGTCACAAAACAATTAAATTTATTTTTAAATTAAATTTATTTTTGCCTTAACAGGATGATGGTGCTTTGTTTTCTGAGCAGAACACTGCATCTAGCAAGACATTCATCCAGTCCACTTGGGAGACAATTCTGTTCAGCCAGCACAAATAAGCCAGTGTTGACTTTATTCACCAAGGTAAGAGTTGTTTACAGAATAAAGCTAGGCAAGACTGTGTATTTATCAGCTTTGATATACATGAATCCCAGATGACATGGCTTAACCATGCTTTTTTTCCCCTTCAAATTTGTGTAGTATTGGGCATTTTACTTTGGGGTGTCTTTTTCAGCAGGCTTTTACAGCACAGTGCTGCTCTCATTATAGCAAGCACGTAGTTACAACCAACAAATGAAGAATTTGGGATAGTTGTGTCTCAGTGATACTACAGTCTGTTCACTAGTTGAAAATTGTTCTTTAAACGCAGTCTAACTGCCAGTGTTTTATCCTGGAAACGAAGGACAAAAATGAGTTGCTATACATAATCTGCCCAGGACAAGCATGAACAGCCAAAGCAGGCTTTTCAAAGTACGTATGTTTAATTTCAACGCTATCTGTGAGGCTGAAAATATGTCCAAGTAGTGCTGGTAGTGCATGAGGGAAAAGTAGATTGTGCTTTACCCTCTTTTTGCTTTATTGACTGTGTAATGCTAACAGGAATAACATGCAGGCACAGGTTTTTCTGTGGTATGAGCAGATAGGATTCTTCAGCATATTAAGAAAACGGATGTAATGGGCAGGAATGGTCATTTGTGAACTGTCACCTTCCATGAATCAAGAGCCTGTGTTATCTGCAGAGGTTTTCTGCACTCTTAGATAGGATGGCCACAGTGGGCTATGCTGAATTTATTTGGTTGATGTGGCCTTCAAGAGGAGAATAACTAGAAATGCAAAGCACTAAGAATTTTGACGTAAGTGTGGCAGTATTTGTTGGAGATGGATGCGAGTAAACTGATTTCCCCCTCCTGCACTATGTTTGTTCACTCCATCCCTAGGCATAAAGGAGTGTTTAAACTATGTAACATGTGAAGAGGTTAAAGAATAAAAGGTCACTATCTGTTTATTAGTCAGAGCAATGCATGCTATAAGAAGAACCATAAAGTTACAGGTTAAAAAGAAAAACTTTTTTTTTTTTTGCAAGGTTATTATTAATGCAGATCAATTTTCCTGTCTAGCTCTACTGTGCAGATGTTTGAGTGCTTATGCCAACACAAAAGAAGAAGCAGTGACAGGCAGATGGGTCTGCTTCCTTCAGCATTAAATGACCACAGAACTGCAGTCCAAGTATGCAGCATAAATGGCAATTACCTGTAGAAATAAAACTGTCCCTTCCACCATGTGTCTTGTCTAACAGATCTAGCTATCAGCACAGCGTATGTCACTTCAGGAAGGGATTTTTACTACCTCTGCAGTAGGAGTCACTTTTGCCGCTTCTGTCTCACATCTGAGAGAGAAGGTTGTCTGAGACAACTTTATCCAGGCAGTCCTAAAGTGATGGCAGAGACCTACTGTTGCACTATTCTACTGAAAAATATGTACTAATATAAACAGACTGTTTAAACAGATTTCACTATTAGTTGAAATAGTTCACTATCTGATTTTAAACTAGTTGCGACCTTATTAGTACCACATAGTGATTAAGCTTGCCATCAGAGCAGGAGTAAAAACGTATTTTTTGCTAAGAGTCAACTTAGTTTGTCAAATGCTTTTATGTGACTGTTATGTTAGAAAGCTCTCCACAGGCCTAAGGGAACTGAGTATATCCTGCTTTAACTGTAAGGAGCCTGGCTTGTTACAAAACTGATGTGCAGGATTCTGGGACATTCCTTTCAGTCACCAATATCAGGTATACCAGTCTCTCCAAAAGCATCAAGAACTAGCAAGAACACAGCACTGTTGATCTTTAGCATCTTGCATAGGTTTTCAGAGCTAAGGACTTCTCTGTGTAGGAAAGACAATTTAGATTAGATGTGAATTAAAAGTAGAGTATTTAATCCAAATTAATTCACAAGCAGGAAATAAGAAGTAGCTGTTTCAGATTAACTCCACATTTAAACAAGCCCTAGGAAGACTTTAAGTGGGAGGGAGAGGATAAGGTCTTCTTCAGCTTTGAAAGGTATTTCATGGCAGAGGGGACAGAGCCATCACCTTCACCACTGTATACCTTGCTGTGTGAATTATAGGCCAAATTCTGCCATTCCAAACATTGAAGCAGCATGCCTTCTTGTGAGTCATTTCTTCAGGTACGCACTGCTCTAATGATCATAGAATCATAGAATGGTTTGGGTTGGAAGGGATCTTAAAGATCATCTAGTACCAACCCCCCTGCTGCGGCCAGGAACACCCTCCACTAGACCACGTTGCCCAAAGCCTCATCCAACCTGGTCTTAAACACTTCCAGGGATGGGGCCTCCACAACCTCTCTGGGCAACCTGTTCCAGTGCCTCACCACTCTAACAGTGAAGAATTTCTAACATCTCATCTAAATTGACCCTCCTTCAGCTTAAACTTCTTGTCCTGTCACTACATGCCATTGTAAACAGTCCCTCACCAGCTTTCCTGTAGGCCCCCTTCAGGTACTGGTAAGCCGCAATTAGATCTCCCCGGAGCCTTCTTTTCTCCAGGCTGAGCAATCCCAACTCTCTCAGCCTGTCCTCATAGGAGAGGTGCTCCATCCCTGTGATCAGCTTCATGGCCCTCCTCTGGACTCTCTCCAACAGCTCAATGTCTCTCCTGTACTGGGGATCATGATGCATGATCAGCAGAAGTCAGCTGTATAACTGTATTGGAAGACAAGGGAGTTTTCAAAAGTGAGAGGTTCTCTTTGACTCTATCACAGGTCAAAACACTGCAGCTGTTTGGCAGTTCTCCATGCTGGAGGTTATTGTCCTCCCAGCTCTGGAGGGTGGAGGATCATACTTAATTCCTTTCAGGCAAAGTCAGCCAGGTTATCTTAAATCACCTTCTTTTGGTATTTGAACTGATCCAAGTGACTCGATCTGAAACAGATTAGAAATTACTCATGTGACTTCCTCATGCCCCTTTTATCAATGGAAATTCCTGTCAAGAGTGGTACCCCCAGTTGTTCTTAGCTGATGATGACAATGCTTTGAATATTCATTGCTGCTGACCAAAAGAAGGGGTCTGTGCATGACCTTCCAAACCACGCCTTTGAATCAGCCTTTAGAAGAGCTGTTGAAAACTCTTAATTTGCACCATGAGAAAAATAATAGCAAATGAGAAATAATTAAATTTTGTGGCTGAATAGTATGTTTTCTTTTCATCCATGCTGGCACTGATAAACTAAAGATTTAGAAAGCAGTAAGGCAGGGTGGCATGGGGAGGGAACCCACATTTACAGTAATGATCACTCCTGTCTGTTTGTTACTTTACAGTACAAATGATCTATGTGTTTTACTGTATACTTTAAATGGCCTGAATATTTTCCTTTAGAAACCATGCCCTCTCTGTGATGAAGCAAAAGAAGTGCTTGAGCCATATAAGAGAAGGGTAATGTATTGCAATACTGTATACATTTTTTAAATAGAAAGAATAGTTAATCAGGATTCTTTCTTTGTGAAAGAAAATTGCTTGGATTTATTTGCAGCCATTATACTTTCATAGGCTACCTCTTCAAGACAATTTCAGCACTGATTTCCATAAAACTCATTATCCAAAAGCCTTTTGCAACAATGCTACTCAGGTATTGGCAAACTAAACCAATATACACCTTGTTGCAATAGTTTTTTAAAAAACACTGATTTGTAAATACTATTGTCTTGTTTGATAGAGGACTTTGCAACTTTTATGAGGTACGTAATGATACCATTTGGGAAGGGTGTTAGTAAGTGAGGCTTCAAATATTTGAACTATATGGGATTGCAATTTTTGCCATTCTTCAAGCAGGTTTTGATGTCTTTCTTGAAGGAAGAAACTTAACAGAAGCATTAAGAGGTGTTGCACTGTGCTACCTAAGAGGCAGCTGTTGTGTTGCCAGCTGCGTATTTGTTGTGGTTGGTGCTCACAGGAGTGTGGTTCTGCACAGAGGATCAAGAATATCATCCTTGACAGGGGAGAGAGTCCTTTGCAGACATGCAGCCAAGGAATGTGGTTAAGTGTATTTTATACCCGCAAAATGGGCAATTGTCTACAATATGGAAGAATAAATCCAAAAGCACTAAGAAAACAGCCTTGCATTTCTAAAAAAAATATTGATCAAAAGACAAGCAGGTGTTGTCTTTCAGTGTCCAGTGGGTACTAACATACTTTTCTGTCACAGTTTATTTTGCAGGAGGTGGATATTACCCTTCCAGAGAACTCGATATGGTATGATAAATACAAATATGACATACCTGTTTTTCATTTAAATGGGAAGTTCCTAATGAAGCATCAAGTAGACATTGAAAAGTTTGAGAACCAGCTTATGAAGCTGGAGTTACAAAATGATGGAAACCAGTGAAGAAAATGCAGCTGCTCTGGTGTGGATCTGAAAGGACTGTGCAGCATAAATTGTGTGAAAAAGCAGTATTCATTTTCTGGCCTTAGGTTTCTTGTAATGTGTGGTACCAGTGTCCTAAAAAACCTGACTGACTTGCATTCTGTTTTGTGTTAATCATCCAGCCCCGCTGCACCAGTAGCAACCTTTTCTGTACCATTCATTTGCTGCTATTGTAGGCTGGCTTTTCATTGACAGAATAAATGCTGTTCTGTAACAGCAGATAAAGTGAAATCTGTTTGTATTGGGTTTGTGTGGCAAGGGTTTTGTTAGCAGGGGGTGCTACAGGGGGTTTCTGTGAGAAGCTGCTAGAAGCTTCCTCTATGTTTGATAGAGCCCAGAGGGACCCACTGCTGGCCAAGGCTGAGTCCATCAGCGATGGTGGTAGTGCCTCTGGGATAACATAGTTAAGAAGGGGGCAAAAAAACCATCAAGAGCAATCGCAGCCAGAGAGAGGAGTGAGAGGAGCTGAGGAACAGCTCTGCAGACACCAAGGTCAGTGAAGAAGGAGGGGCAGGAGATGCCCCAGGCACTGGAGCAGAGATTCCCCTGCAGCCTGTGGTGAAGCCCATGGTGAAGAAGCAGGCTGTCCCCCTGCAGCCCATGGAGGTTGATGGTGGAGCAGATATCCAGAGGGGGGTTGAGGGTGGAGCAATTACCCCCCTCCGGCCTGTGAGGACCCCATGCCAGAGCAGGTGGAGGCACCTGAAGGAGGCTGTGACCCTGTGGGAAGCCCAGGCTGGAGCAAGCTCCTGGTGGGACCTGTGGACACATGGAGAGAGGAGCCCACACTGGAGGTTTGCTGGCAGGACTTGTGACCCTGTGGGGGATCCACGCTGGAGCAGTCTGCTCCTGAAGGACTGCACCCCATGAAAGGGGGACACACTGGAGCAGTTGGTGAAGAACTGGAGCCCATGGGAAGGACTCAGTTGGACAAGTTGGTGGAGGACTGTCTCCCGTGGGAGGGACCCCGCACTACAGCAGGGGAAGAATGTAAGGAGTCCTCCCCCTGAGGAGGAAGGAGCGGCAGGGACAATGTGTGATGAACTGACTGTAACCCCCATTCCCCGTCCCTCCATGCTGCTTAGGGGGAGGAGGGAAGAGAATTTGGGAGTGAAGTTGAGCCCAGGAAGAACGGAGAGGTGGGGGGAAGCTGGTTTTAAGATTGGGTTTTATTTCTTATTATCCTACTCTGATTTGATTTGTAATAAATTAATTTTCCCAAGCTGAGTCTGTTTTGCCTGTGGTGGTAATTGGTGAGTGATCTCTCCCTGTCCTTATCTCGACCCACAAGCTTTTCGTTATATTTTCCTCTGCCCTGTCCAGCTGAGAAGGGAAGTGATAGAGCAGCTTTGGTGGGCACCTGGCATCCAGTCAGGGTCAACCCACCACAGTATTTCGAGATTGTTAGGACATGTAAGCTGTAGGTCTGTAAGAGACTTTCTTGAAGAAGTCTAAGAATCTATCCTAAGTGCTCATTTGAAATGGAGGAGAGGCCATTTACTGTAAAAGAAAATTACATTTGAGTAAAGACAGCACACTCACTGAAACAGAGTCGTATCTATAGAACAATCAACACAATTTCATACAGCTGTTACTAACACATGAACACTTAATAGTTTATTTTTCTTCTAATGCAATGAACGTACGTTGCACTTTATCTACTACAGCAAGCTTTGACATCCTTAGTACTTGAGTTACTCCCAGTCACAAGAAAAAATAGTGAACCATAATTGAGCCAAAGAACCAAATCTGCAATGAAAACAGCATTTTTTAACTCCAAACGTGCATCTCTAAACGCTACTAATTCCAGAGTATAAAATGAAAGTAAGAAACCCTAAGAATGTCTTTAAAAAAATTTCTGGACTAAAATATGGGAATTCTCCCTTAGACTCAAGTTATGTTCTTTAAAAAATCCATGCTAATATACAGTCTTTTGCCCTTCTTAAGGATGCTTGTGGCATAACTCTCTATCATTACAAAGCCAGTGAACAGAGAAAACATGTTTCTCTGATATTAGGGGATCAGTGCTCGGTTCTGTGGAGCAGATTGCTGTGGTAACTGAGTCCAGTTGTGTTTTCTGGCAGAAAGGAATCACTCCAGTTCTGTCTGCAACACAACTGCAAATCCATTTATCACATGGCAAGAATACCATTTTATCAAGAGTTACTGTAGTTCTGTTGGTACATCATGTATGTGAGGTTGAATGACTAAGTTAAATATATTTTCAGGAGCAAGAGAAAGATAGATTAAAGAACAGTTGACTGGTTTAAGTTGAATAGCCAGTAATAAGCACTGGAGAAAGCTGGGATTTTTGATCTACTTAATAGTTACTTTAACACAAACTAATCCCTACCTGCTGTGTTCCTGTGCTTTCTACCATGGTGGTGGTCAGTCTTCTCTCATCTCTAGGAATTTCAACAGGGACACTTGACAGATGTGTCTTCACAGTGGAAAGAATACAGGCACAATACCCAGGTAGAATAGCAAACTGAAATTCACTAGGATTTGTTACAGACTTTAGCTTTTGGACTATGGCTTAGTAAGAAGCCAACTGATCTGCTATGGTGAAAGCGGGCAGTTCCTATCCTACAGTGTGTTTAGCACTTGACAGATCATTTGCAACCCAATTCTGATGTATTCTGCAAGATTAAAAATTTCTGGGCAGTGAGGGGGTGAGAAGTTAAAACTTTCTTCCAGTTCAGCAACTTGAGTCCACTCTGGAAAGGGTCTGAAAGTATCCAGAAGTTCCCAGGAGGGAAACCTGTGCCGTTTTTCTAGCAGAGAGCTTTAGGTAAGGTCAGTCACGTCATCTCACTATACCCTGCAATTTATAAGACTTCAGAAACTTCCATTTCATACCACTTCACCCTCCTCAAGAGGTCTGCAGAAAGAGAGTGGCGTCAAACAGGATGGATTTACTAGATTTACAAGAACTAAAGAGAAGCTTAGAAGTTTAAGCATCTCCTTAAACCTGTTTAAGGCTTTTCATCAGCAATTTTATAACTGATCCAAAACTGAAATTACAGCTGTTGCTTCTAAAGAAAAAAATTCATCCTGACTTTGAGTAACAAATTTATTCTTTTTGTACCCTTACGTTATAAAGCCTGCTGCTTTACCCTGATATGGTCATTTACATTGTAGACGAAGAGTAAGATGAGGAGATTGTTAAAAAAAAAAAGCTGAAATTTCTTAGGAGTAAGTGAGTGAACTTGAGTAACTCAGCAAAGCGTTAAGTGTGATGCTTTCCTCAACACGAGGTAAAAAAAAAAAAAGGCAAAAGTTGAAATAGAAAGATGCTTCTTGAATTGTGTCTTGCAGCATAGCTTTGCCCTATCCGCAGTGCTTTTCATCACCATTGACAGAAGAACAGGACCCTAGAGACAAAAACTACTATACTTTCTGTAGTTCATAATGCTACCATCAAACTTCTAAGTGTCCCATGAGTTACTGTTAAATAATAGGTCTGAAATACCTCTGTATCAGCAAGCAAGTGCCATTTGCTTTTCCTTTATACTCTGATATGGATTTAGAGGGCACAGGTTTTTCCTTGCTGAGGTTTTGTAATACAAGAACTGGGATACAGCACTTTTCAACCATAGTTCAAGTGCCTTTCTAAAATACAGCATTATTTTATCAAAGATACGGAGGACAGAGGTCATGTGGACTTGCCCCATTTCCCAATATACATTATTGACAGAGTCTGAAATAGCCATCAGAGAGCAATTTGCCTTTGTTTTAATAAGGTCTGTTTTGGGAAGGAAAAAAAAAAAGGAAGCTAAAAGCAAATGTCTTAATCATACAGATGATGAATCCCTTGTTCCTTAATCATTCAGATGGGAGGTTTTGTTCTGTAGTCAGTGCCATATTCCCCCCCCCCCCTTTATTTTCTAAAGTGAATAATAAAAGGATTTTTATAATAGTTTTTGTCTATGGTGTAGCCTTTATCAGTGAGATGGAGGTTTTCCATTAGTTCTGGCTGTAGGTGCTAGTTGCATATGATGTACAGAGATTAATGGTGTAATGGTGGCTGCTTCTTCCAACTCTTCTTCTGCTGTACAATCAAACACAACCCTGGATTGTGCATGCTTCACTCCTATTTTCCTTGTCAACACAAGTAGCAGATTCAGGTGTATGAGAAAGGTCATTGTAGACCCATGTGCAAGCAACAGGCCTGGACTCCAGGGTGAATGTTCTATGGGATGGAAGGATCACTGCCAGTCACTCCTCTCCAAACACCATCCTGCCCTTCCAAAGCCAAAACATGGGATATAATGCTAAAGCCTTTCAGCAGTATCTGAGAAGATTTTATTGTTCTACTGGTTTAAGGGAATAGAAGCCCTATTCTCATCAGTTAGGACACAAAGATTGGAGGTGGAAACATGTCAAAACCGTGTTGGTGACACACCTCAAAGAAGGAGCTGTGCTATAATTGTTTCCAGATAAAAGCACCTCAGGACAAGGTGATGAGCAAGAGGCTGACAAGTCATTTTGGACCATAAGTACTACTGCAGGTTTCTCATTGCAAAATTAAGTTGTGTCAAGGTTGCTGAAGATGTTACTCCTTCTCTGTAATCTTCTCTGAGGAATACAAAATACTGAAGTAAAAACTCCAGAAGACAACCTTCTGTTTCAAAGCCAGCAGCTCTGCTCAGTGGAATGATAAGGCATTCAATGACTATATTCACATGTGGACACCAAGAGTTCACATCTTCTAAGTAGCAGATCAGACAGAGAAGTGTTTCAGCATCATCTTCCATTTCCCTGCCATTATCAGTCCTAAAAATTGTCATGTGAATTTGTGATCCCATAGGCAAAATAATTCATTAACCTCAATGGGACCAGAAGTTTACCTCAAATAGTTAACTACTTTCCATTTCCTTTGACATGTGGGGAGACTGAACAAGTGCTTGTGTGACTTCGCATGACTAGCAGGTCTGCCACCTTCATTTTCCAAAACCAAG